TATATATATATATATATATATATATATATATATATATATATATATATATATATATAAATAGGATTTGTTTCATTTTTATTTAGAATTTTATTTCATAAATTTTTCATTAACTTTTTTTTTAGAAAGTCAAGAATTTATCAAAGTAAATATATTTACTTTTACAAAATATATAATATGTAATTAAATATTTATTATAGATTTAATTATTATATATTTTATTTCAATATTATAGTTTTCTTTTAATTATTTAATTATTATAGAATCAATTCTATAGTTTTATTAATTAATTTTACATTTCTTAATTTATTAATATATATATATTAATAATATTAATTTTGTTTTAATTTTTAATATGCATTATTTTAATTAAATAATATATTATGTATTTAATTATTATAGAATACATTCTATAATTATATTAATTAATTTTATATTTTTTAATTTATTAATATATATATTTAAAAATATGTAGATACATTTTTCTCTACACGTGTCATCAAATTCTAAATCACAAATTTGATTACAACATTCTGTAAATTTTTAACATACAATGAAAAAAGATAGATAGATAGATAGATAGATAGATAGATAGATAGATAGATAGATAGATAGATAGATAGATAGATAGATAGATAGATTGAGAAAATGTTAGATAGAAAGACCATAAACGCGAATTTAGTTATATCATGAGACAGTGTGGATGTTCCCAAAGGTATAATAAATATCATCTTACCACCCGTTAAGACGTCTAGTATTGCTCCCATGGTGTGTTCTTGGCTCCTGTATCCCATAGGATACTTCATCAAAAACTCAACCCACAACTTTACCATCATCTATATCTTTCTCTTTCTTTTTTCTCTTTCTTTTTATTCTCTTCTCTGTCTGTTTCTCCCTTTTATTTATTTGTTCATTTCACTTTGTCAAATCGATACGATTCAATTATTTACATCGATATACTTGAAACAATTGCAATCATTTTTTTATATTATTATTATTATTAAATCTCTGAATTGAGTAAAAGATTACAAAGATTATTTTCTATCCAATCAAATAACAGGGAAAAGTAATAAAAGAAGTAGAAAACATGAGATTCTTTTTCTTCTTCTTCTTTTTTTTTTTTTTTTTTATCCTCTCTCGCCTTTATCCTCTTTGAAGGTTCGTCAGCGTGATACCCAATTCTGGAACGTCTAATTTTCGTTGGTTAAGTGCCGGTAATTGAAGGGGGAACCAACAGGACCATGAAATCGAAGAAATCCTGTCGGCTTTTCAAAAACCATTTCTACCTTTATCCCTTCTTTTCTTGTTTTTTTTCTTTCTTTATTTTTTTTTTTGTTTTATTTTTTATTTTTTATCCCTATACTTCATACAATCGATCACACAATACTCGTTCAGGTTAGTCTCGAGTTGGGCTAATACCACCCCTTACTACCACCCCCCTCCCCTCGAACCTCAGACGCACTTTCGATCTACGACTTTTTTTTTATTTTATTTTATTTTTTTTTGTTATCTTTAAAATCCTCCCTTTTTTTTCTTTAACATTGATTGCATTAATTAACTTTGTGTTTTAACATTTTAATTAGATTAAATATATTAATTGTGTCACTTGTTACTTTTGTTATAATCAACATGTGATATGATGATATTTTTATGGTGAATATTATTCGTTCTCAAGTTTAATAACAAGTTGATTTTTGAATTATTTTATAGTATAAATATCTGGGGTTTTTTTTTTTAATAATATTATTTTAAATAATATTAATCTTTTTAAAAATAGTTTAATAAATTGATTCGATTCGGTTATAGTTCATAATATTATATTTTTGTTCATTTGTAATATATTTATCTTTTCTGTTTGATAATATTTAATTATATTCTTAATATTATTAATTATATTAAATAATATATAATAATAAATTAATTAATTATATTAGGAATAGAAATAATGGAATTAATATTAACACAGAATTTTATATTTCAATTAGGAGATTATTTTTTACGATCACAATAAAAATAGTAAATTTATATTAATAACAATTATATTTCAATTAGAAGATTATTTTTTATAATTACAATAGAAATATAATTTTTATTAATAACAATTGTATTTTAATTCAGAGAATATTTTTTATTTTAGTGAATTTTAATATCACCTAACTTTTACTTTACAATGCTTAATTAAACGTGTGTTTCTTTAGCAAATTATTTTAATAATTATATATAATAAAAATTAAAATTAAAAAATAATAATAATAATAATAATAATAATAATAAACACTATAAATATCTTTACTTTATATATAATTAAAAGAAATTACAGAAGATTGTTTAATTAAACAAATTCAAATTAAAAATGGATTAATAATAATTCCTATAGAAATATTTTTTTTACTTTAAATATAATTAAAAGAAATTACACCGTAATCTTTCAACTTTGAAACAACAATAACAATTATAAAAAAAAAAACATTTGATTTTAACAAGTAAAATGAAAATGACAATTTTAATTTGAATTAAACAAATTCAAATTTAATAAAGTAATAATAATAATAATAATCCCTATATAAATATCTTTACTTTATATCTAAGTAAAAGATATTAAAGAAAATTGTTTAATTCAACAAATTCAAATTAATAAAGTAATAATAATAATAATATAATATAATAATTTAATTTTAATTAAACAATTTTAAAATTAAAAAAGTAATAATAATAATATAATATAATAATTAAATTTTAATT